CTCCTACATAGTGGGTGTAACATTCAGGTACTTTATTTGTTCTCCTTGCTCTTATTTCTTCTGTTATTTATTACTGGACTTTTTTTACCTGCATTGTGCTCTGCCACTTGGAAATTTCAGCTGAAAAGCTTGTAATAGAAGTGAGTTAGCTTCACTAGATAGATAAATACAGTGTCTTAAAAGCACTGTAAGAGAAGTAGAAGGAGAAAAAGTGCAGAATTTTGTGAAATTTGACAATTCTGTAGGAAAAAAAAAAAAAAGAACAACAACGAAAACATGAAGAGAAAAACAGATGAAGGAAATGTCTTTTTAAAATATGTTTTAGTCTAATGTAATATCCCATATTTATCAACATGGACTGGAGTTGATTTTTAACATGTGAAGTAGTTCTCTAAGGTATTCTCTGATACTCTCTAAGGTATAGCAATTTAATCAAAACAATACCAAGACATAAATGGATTTAAATGATGATAGCTCACTGTATAGTGATTTGAAAGTTTGAGAAATTTGAGTTGTCTCTTCCTTTAGCAGTTAAACAATGTAACATCTCGGCTAACTTCAAGTAGTCCTTTCATTTAGCCTTTATTACCAGTCAACTAGTTTTCCCTTTTCTGTCATCATGGTAGACACAAATAACACATACGATCAAAATACCCCACAACTTTATAACCCTATAGTTATCCTGGAATGTCTCCCAGGGATTACATACAAAGTAGCCATTGAAGCGGGGTCAAGCAGCTGTATTTGCAAAAAGGACCACTATTTGTTTTATCATTGTTATTCTTGCAGTTGTTATTTTTGCATTGATATTTTGGCTGACTTCTGCCAGTGCAATAGGAAATCCTAGTAACTGCAACTTGAGCTAAGGCTTGCAGGCTGCTGAGTCATGCTGATGGATCTGTGAAAAGCCAGTATGTTAGTGCTGGACTCCAATTAATTGCTTACTACCTGCAAGGTGAAGCTTTTTTGTTTTAGGAAAGTGTAAGTGCAGTGAAAGTGATGTAAAAAATCCCCAAACTGTGTGCTTCTCCAATACTAGCATCAGTAGAAAGGGAAGAAAATAGCCAAAGCAGTCCTGTGCTGAGAGTATAGATGTTTAAATGCAATCAAGAAAAACAGATTATAGGCAATGAGGTAATCTTAGCATGTATTTATTTCTGCTCCTACAAGGGGGCGGGAGGGGGGAAGGGAGTGGTACTGCAGAGGTGCAGGAAAGGCATGTGAAATACTGGGATTGTACGGCATGACTAACGAGAACAGCGAGCCCAGCGTAAGCCACAGAGCACTGGCTGTAAAGTACAATGTTTGGGAACCTTAGGAAGCATCTCTGTGCTGGTAGCCAAGGCAGAGACACAGAAGTGCTGTTTCATACACTTTCTGCCCAGAATCCTTGGTTACTTTTAAGGATAACTCTTAATCATGCTGCAATGAAGCTCAGCTGCTGTCCTGCAGAATGAGAAATGGAAAGCCTAAAAAATGCCAGCAGGCACTTTATTTGCATGAATTGGATTGCACATGAACACTTATGCCCTCAAAACTATTTAAGTGGCACTCCTTTCCCTTCTTTTTTAACTGCATTCTTTTACTGTATACTTTGTTGAGCACTGCACATAACCAAGCTATAACGTGTGCAATGTGCTGAACTTTCCCTCATTTTGGCGTACAACTGCTCTTGGAGGAAACTTCCAGCAGGAGTAGCCATAAAGTAGACACTGATGAATAAAGGCTTCCTGTGATTCTGTGAAAACAGCATTCTCCTAAACTCTTACTTGCTTGCTTGCAACCTATTCCAAACACGTATTCTTGCCAACTTCTTGCAGCTCTTACTCCCTAATGTTTACTTCACCTTAATGAATTGTAAGCAGAAAAGTAACAGAAGCATATTTTGGTGATTCCTTATGTAAACGTAAGGTTAAGTCCTTAGGAAGCAGTTCATTTTCACAATATTTACAATGCTAACCATAGCAGGAGGTGATTTTGTCACAATTTCTGAGCCTGAATCCCCCTCAGCTATCTCTCTAGACCTGGTTTGGAACGGCTCACTGCACTGTCCCGGGGATTTAAAGCCATGCCTAAGCCCTGCACCCTTAACTGTTTATGTCCAAGTTTACCCAATGTATCATAATGACTTTTTAACTCACTTATAGTGTAAGAAATCAATATATACACATTGAAAGGGAAAACATATATATCTGCATGCTTACCATATTCCTAGTTCTTGGAATCTAATGAGTAAACAATACTTAAAATATATTGTCTAAAATGTATGTATCCAGTTTCCTATATATGTGTCAACATGACCCAAATTTACAAGTCAGATCTATTATACCACTTTGCATTATTAAAACATCATTCTTCAATTGTTATTGTTGTGACTGTTGTTATTTCAGGAAGACATATGTGCTCAAAATTACACAAACAGTAATGGAAACTAAAAAGCAACACAAAATAGGATTGTTATTTAGGCCTCAATTCTGCAAACATGTTTTGATACTTAAGTATCGTTTAAAAAACACCTCGGACATTGAACTGTATTTCTGCATGCAGTACCTAATGCTATTCAAAATCAGAATGCACCATACATGGAAATACATCTCCCACACCTGAAGTTTCCCGACGATAGTTTGTGATACCATCATGACGATATGATTGAGTTCATTGCCATAAGTATGTACATCGTACAGTTAAGTTTGTTACTTTTGACACCAAACATTTTAATTTCTTGTAGATTTTGTATCTTTGAAGACTTCCTTTGTGTTTGTTTGTTTTAAACCTTCTCAGATGTACACTGCTACTCCTGATAGCCAAAATCAGCAGGAGGAGAACAACTAGAACTGGTATGAAATGCCAGAACAAGCCCGGTGCCTGTATTTTTAAACTTTGGCCAGTGTTCTTTTCATACTTCATAAAAGAAGTTGAGAGCAAAGAAGAAAGGGAGCATTTCTTTTCATTTTCTGGAAACACTGGGGAAGAGATAAAGGACAGGAAAGAAAGAAAGAAATGGTCGGGGCAAAGGAAAAAGCTCTGTGTGAGGATGCGAAGAAGGCAGGCTGGTGCCCTCACCAGTCTTTTATATAGCAGGGCATCCTCTTACTGGCCAGAGTAATTTTTATAGAGTAATAACCTGACTGTATCTCCTGCCTCCTGACCCTGATGAAAAGAGGGGTGCTCTATAAAAAAAAGTGAGTGAGGAAGAAGGGGGGAGGAGGGAGTGAGGAAATATTGCCTAAATCATTCCCTCCATCACATTACCTGGCTTATGGATGCACACTTCTATCCTCTGTTAATTTATCTCATACAGATGCCTCTGGCTGCTCTTCCTTCTACTACTGAAGCAGTGATTAAGTAAATTTGGGGGGGAGATTGTTAGCTGTGAGCATTTTGGGGGCCAGTGAAGTGAGGACACGGCGTTTGGCGGCAAGCCGAGGCGGCGGGCTGGGGCCTGGCAGTGCTGTGCGCAGGTCTTGCTTCATCTGGAGCCGGAGCGGAGCTGCTCGCAGCCCCAGCCGCCGCTCTCTGCGTCTGCTGTGTTTGTTAATAAGGAGACAGGCGAGGAGAGCTAAAAAGGGAAAAGCGAGCATCTTGAGGAAACTCTCAGCAACAGTAGCATGCAGCCTGCTCCAGTAGATTTCTTGTCTGTTAAAGGCAAACGGAGAGAGCTGCCACCCGGCCAAACCCAGAGCTGCTTCAGGGCCGCTCCCGTGTGTTCGGGGCCCAACCCCGGACACTTCCACCGCGATGAGGAGGCTGCGGGCAGCTGCCGATGGTACCCTGGGAGGGTGCCCACCGGGGTCACCCCGCCGCCGAGCCCCCCGCCCTGCGCCACGCTGCTTGCCACTGCGGGCTGCTCCCGGGAGCGCCCTCGCCGCGAGCGCCCCCTCCAAAAACACACGCTTCCTTCCCACCTCGGCCAACAACTTTGTTATGGGGAGCTCCAGCCCTGCCACCGGGAGGGCAGGGAGAGGGAGCGGCCATGAAGCAGGGCAGAGGTCGAGAAACAAAAGGAAATGATAGATGGGACAGCTGGCACCTGTCCCTCTCCCCGGCCCCACCCGTGAGACGCTCTCCGGAAG